AATCGGCGAATGACGTGTAATGGGCAGGGGCTGACATCGGAGGGGCAACACCTTGGTACGGGTAGGAAGAGAGCACATCCACGGCCAACGGTGTCGCGGGAGGTGATGCAATGTTGATCTGCATCGGCTGTGTGGTAGGGAACAATTGGCTAGTCGGTTGCGCCGACAGGCAGTAGCCACCGTCGCTGGGAGTGGTTGGGAGCAGATGGTGCAGATCTTCCGGTGTCAAGGGTGTTGGTGGCGCCAAACCCCCTGTCGTAACCGCAGGTTGTAGCATGGACGACATGTCAGCCTTGGAGCCCAGAGCCCCAGCCTCGGCGAAAGTAGACAGGTTAAGAGGGGAACGCTGAGCTGCAGATGCCTTCCGGACACCCGCATATCGGGAGTTTAGACCCTGTGCAGACTTGGATTGCCTCACGCCATGGCTGTTGCCGTAGCTCGGGAGCCTCGTCGAGGGTGACATGGTGGACGATCCCGTCAACATCGAGGACGACCTCGAGGTGCCAATGGCAGCAGGCCTCGGGCGCTTTCTCCGGGCTGCAAGGTCAAGTTCCTTGCTGGGTTCCTTCCAGGATGACCGGTCGCCTTCATTCAGAAGCTGCGAGCTGGGATGCGTGTTGATGCCAATCCCTTCCAATGTGTCGGCCAGCTCGTCAGAAGAGCCTCGCCTGGGCACCGACAGATCATGTTGCATAGGGTATTGCACACCGTTGTAGGAAACCTCAGCATCGCTAGCCGAACGGTAGCCAGAAAGGGACTTTGATGTCTGAAGCTGGTGAGACCAGTCTTCATTCTGGGAGGGGTGGAACTGTACGTTTTGCATCGAGTCATGGCCGGCGTCATGTTGAGTGCCGTCCATGCCGGGCATCGTCAGCGACTCTCCCGACGTCACATACCCAAGAGCACCCTGAGAACTTTGCGACGTCCACGAGATGGCGTTCTGTGAGAAAGAAGAGCTGAGGTCACCCTGCCCATGTCTGCTGCTATCGTGGCTGCCGCAGCGGTTGTTGGAGAAGGTTGTGGTCGGCGACACTGACCCATCCATGCTGGGGGATTGGCTGTTCTCGCCGTCCTGGCCATACCGGTCACGGGCAGCAACAGCAGCATTCAATGCCCGTTGCAGGGAAGCAAAGGTAGCCTCCCGTGCCGACTCGCTTCGGGTCTTCTGGTGCTTAGGCCGCGAGGACGAAGCAGCCGGCGTTTTCGTGCGCTCGGCAGTGTTCTCCACTGATTGTTTGGGGGTATCTTTATCGGTTTCATCCTTCGAGTCTTTGGTGTCCTCCTTCGAGTCTGAGCTCTCCGTGGACTCCGACTTGCCGCGAGCGGCTTCTTCGGCCTCGGCCTTGGCCTTTTGCATCTTCTCGAACTCTTCTTGTCTCTTTTGTTGCTTAGCCTTTGCTCGGCGATTCTGGAACCAGTTCTGCATATACGGTTAGTGAATGTACCGAGTATTCTGAGAGCCAATGGATAACTTACAGCAACTCGTGGCAGGCTCAGATTGGTTTGAGCCGCCAATTGACGCTTGACGTTGCTGCTGGGTTTGGGGTGCGCCTGAAATTGGGCCTCCAAGGTCTCAACTTGTTCCTTCGTCAACCTTGGGCGAGAGAGGTTCTCTGCATATTCTTCGTAGTCCATGATTGGTTGGTGGTAGAAGTCGACCATGTCAAAGGGCGGGTGAGGGTAGAGGTAGCCATCCATTGGATGCATCATGGAGGGGTGGGCCATCGTTGGGTCGAAGGCAACCGGCTGCTCCATGGGGACGGCGGCATGGCCGGTAAATGCGTAGGGGTGGTGGAGATAATTCATGTTGTGCGAATCGGAGAATCAGAGTATATATAGAGATAGGAGGAAGAGGGTAGGAATTGTCGGAGGTGTTGAGGTGAGGCGAGTATGAAGGTATTCAAGGTACAGGACCAGTTGCTGCCAACAAGCCGCAGCTGTGACGAGGCAACTCTATACCATTGAACGATTGAATCACAGAGAAAATATAGCTGGACTCAAACAAGCCAGGAGGAGGGGAAGGCGGGAAGATAAGGACTTTGAAGCAGGAGGGAGAGGAAAGGGAGGGCGGCGGCGGGTAGTAGGGAATGACGGGACTGAAGTAGGCGGGCAAGCTGTCTGGGGTGTATATGCTTGCAGCCAAGTGGAGTTATAAAGGAAATCCGATGTAGTAATGAGAGAGTATGAGAGGTTGAATCCAGAGAGAGAGAGATATAGAGAGTAATTAAAAAGAGAGAGAGGAGGGGAACGAAGAGCAGGATCAAGGAAGGTATAAGTTCGATGAAGACAAGGCCGAATAGGACAGCACAGAAAGGGAAAAAGAAGGAATGAGTTGGACTAAGCTGACAGGGAAAAAGCAAGAAAATAAAAATAAAATAAGAATTAGGAAATTCAGAATAATAAAAATATTAATTCAAAAGGGAAATAGTAGAGGGAGTGACCAAAATGGAAAAGGAGAGTAGGAGGTGAAGGAGAGAATTGAGTGAGAGAAAGACTGTAAAGAGAGTAGGCAGAGAGTGTGTCGGGAGTGTGAGTGAGTGAATGAGAAAGAAAAGGAAAAAGGACAAAAGGGAAAAAAAAAAAAAAAAACAAAAAAACGAGAGGACCCAGAAAGGATTGACAGTCAGTCCGTCAGAAAAGTGTAAACTAACACTAACTGGAGAAAAGAAAGAGCAGCAGCAGCAACAGCAACAGCAGCAGCAGGAGAGGGTTTGGAGGGACTGGATTTCGGGGGGAGGGAGTGGGTGGTGCTGGCAGCTCGCCTATTGGCTGACGCTGGATGGGGAGAGATTGGCGGCGGCAGCCTGCCCGGCAAGAAGGTGTGGAGGGGGCCGCGCTGATTGGTGATCGCCGCCCGGAACTGGCTGGAGGAGGATTTGGCCTGGACAGCTTTGGTATCAGGGCTGTATTTGCTCCGTACCGTCAGTTTGGGCGAACTCCCCGTGTCCCGCAGCGCTTCGGGCTTTCGTGTGAACACTCACACACTCTCTCCCTTCTGGCTTGTCGGCTACAGCACATCTCGGATTGGCTATTTCGGGTTATTCCTCTAGACTGTCACTTTCTGCTTGTCACTCTTTTTATTTTATTTTCTTTTTCATTGTTTTATCTCTTCCGCTTTCTCCTCTTTCCCCTGCAAAAACCCCTCTCTGCAAATTCACACTTTATTTCCCTTCGTCACTTGAGAAAAGCTCGCAGCAGAAAACATACTACCCAAACTAGTAGCTACCTACCCATTCAGTACTAGACCCGTCTCGGGGAACCAAACCGTTACCAGGTACGGTATTAAACACCCAAGGCATCGACCACCCAAAAATATTGGCCGACGGAGTGGGTTTCCTGGTGCTTCCGCCCGAGCGGTTCTAGGGGGTGGCGGCCTGGGCTCTCACACTCTCGGCGGACTCTAGAGTACGTACTACTATCTTGGGAAGCTAACTAACTATCGTCCTCACCTAAAAAAAACCACAAACTGAAATACTGTGTGGCTAGTGGTCTTGGAACTGGATAGGAAGGGGACAGTAGATAGATGTCATTGATGTTTCAAAGGATTATACGAAGTTTTAGCTACTTGTTATATGCCACACCTTATCTTAATCGTACCAACTGGAAACAGATCCAGGATCTTCTCAGTCCCGCCGCCTTCCACAAGCAATGAGGGGAGGGTGTAACTAAGAGGCGCGCGCGCTTACTTCAAAAAAAGTAGTGCGGTGGCGGCGGTGACTGTTTCTTCTCCTCTGGCGTCACTGTGAAAAGAACATGCCTATGCCTGTATGTACTCCATAGGATCATATGTAGGTCCGACGGGTCCGCAACGCATGCTGTACCTCAGAGTGAGCTCAGTTGCTTTTTTCCCTTATTATCGTCAGACCCGTCACGGTGGTACTGCTGTACAGTAAAATCCAAAAGTTCGCTTTTTTCGTTCGTCTGCTGCTAAATGGTGGAAACAATTTCGTCACCTCGATTTACCCCATTTTTCTTTTCGATTTAATTTATTTAGGTTTTCCATTTTTGTTCTTCTGCTTTTCTCTTCACAGTTCTAATGTGATGGTCATCTTTTCTTTTACTCTCTTCTTGCAGCTTTGACCTGCAAACTCATAATTTTATCTACTCTCACTCAGGAGGGATGTATACTCCTTAATCATGCTCGGCAATCATTATCAAAGTTTTGGTCCACCGTATGTACCAAGGGTGCCCTGAGGGACCACAATTCTTAGTAAGTGAGAGTCAGACTGAGGAGTACTTAGTAGCAGAGTAAAGACTAGAGATGCGTGGCCTCCCATTGGTTGAAGTGGATAAGCCACCCCCCCCTCTCATCCGCACAAAGCCCTCGTCGTTCATCCCAAATGCCAGCGCTTGCTATTTCCCACACAAATCAAACCTGAACCCCGGCAATGGCTTAAACGGCAGCAATTAAGCTCCAGTGACAACTTGGTTGACAGTCTCACATACTTTCCTCCCCATGAACTACGATTCCGAACAAAGCTGGGAAATAGCTGCGAGTTGAGTTGAACCCGGTCCCTGCTCCTACGGACTTTCGTCAGTTCCTGCATTAGCGCCACCAAAGCATCCAAAGCCGATTTTAGCTCTTCCCAGGGGGAAGGTTCCTTCTGGGCAGATCCGGGCAACTCAATGGTCCCGAGCGTGGCCACCAAGGCACGCCGTCGGCAATAGTAGATTGTTGTTCACATCTCTTTCATTTTAATTTATTTATTTTTCCTTGGGGGTAGAGGAGGCCCCAAGAGAGCGGGTTCTCCCACGCGGACGGAGTATCTAAGCTCTGCAACATCACGTCTTTCCCGACTGAGGAAAGCTTGCGCTAGAATCTCTCCTTCTTCACCCATGACCTTCTGATTCCCCGATCACGGCGGTCGGGGACCACGCCATCAGTGGGGCAAGTTCGTTTGAAAGGCGGCGTGAGAAAGTGAGCCATGAGATGGATCGCTGAGCCCACCGCCCACTGGGCCTATCCCATGTCTCACGCCTTCTGGTGGCAGGCCGGGGGATCGCATGGCCACATCCTACTGGGCCAGTCTGCGATCACGGGGTGCTGGATGGGGAGAGAGTGAGAGGGAGCATCCAATGACCATTCGGAGTTGTGGACGCCGACCAACGGATTAAGATTCACCGTACATATTCTGGATCCGGTTAGCGCCAGCGGTCCGAAGATCCCCAGCTTCCGATTGATAGTCCGTTCTTCTTACCCGACGGTTCCAACGACTCTTCACCACTCCCACGGGACGGCTTCGTGATGCTCCAGTGGCCCGCCCAGTGAGATAAGGGGATAGGATAAACCACGCAGTTCATCAATATACGGAGTAGCATGGCACATCAGACAGAACTGGGGTTCATGAGGCCATGACGTGATCAAAGTACTCCCTCCTGAGTCCTGAGACTGTGAGACCCTCTTATCCACCCCCCACAGACTGCCATCGCAATCGACGCATCCGACCATCACAATTGGTACTTTGCTCTCCTTAGGGTGTGCCAGAACAAAGAGAGGTGAAGCGGGGAAGGAGCTCCGGCCAGCCGAAAGAAAGTCAGTAAAGTCAGGCAACTCAGTCAGTCGATTTATGCCTTGACATCGCCTTTCCCACACCTTCTTCCCCCATAATAGCCCCCATACCAGACGTACCAGATGCATTGGCCTTTAATTCCCGTATGAATGGACACCGTCCCAGTAACTCAATTGGCACGGATCTCTGCAAAAAATGCCTGTCATGCTTTTCCCGCAAGGTCCTTGGAACTCACGGACTTGTTATTCGCCAATAGGTAAATATTTTCTTTCTCTGATAATTCCTTTCCTTCAGTGAATAAAAAGTAAATTAACAAATTAAAAAGCGAAGGAAACACAAAAAAAAAAAAAAAAAAGAGCCATCGGGAAGGACGTGAAAAGAGAGAGAGAGGGAGAATGAGAGAACAGACCGCGCCGGCTGCAAAAGCGTGGCAGCAGCTCAGCCAAAGACCCACCAAAACCAATAGTCGACAGATCCTCGTCGATCCGCCTCAGGGATCTGTCGATTGTCGAACATCTTTCACCTTTCCTTTTTCTTCCAATGCTCTCGGGATCCGATAATAGGACTCCCTTCCTTCCCCCCTCTCTTTCTCCCCACTCTGAGCGCCCTACACGCGTGAGAATTTTCTGCGAAATCCGCCATTCGTCCGTTTGAATTTCTGGCTTCTGTCAAACCAGGCCATAATCGACGCTAATCATGATTGTGGTCACAGACACAGGCTCACTCGCTCACTCGCTCGCCCCCCCAAGTCACGAGATGACGCAGTAGTGATCTGCAATCTGCTCTCATGCAGCAGCAGAAGGACCGGGGGTCATTAATGTCCATGTTAGGGGGAATCTGGTTTGACGCTATCGTATGCGCTTCCCACAGGTCTCGATGAGCAACGAGAACTGTTGAGCCGAAATACATATGCATGCACGCATGCATGGGAATAATCTTTTGGTTCGTCTGTGAGCCTATTTCCTTCGTTCTCGCGACCGCCATACACCTGGCCCCAGTCCGTCGACAGTCGGACGATGATGCTGGGCAGGGATGCTTCCAAGAAGAGGGCTCCAGTCTGGCGGGGCCCATAGCCTGACTACGACACACACTGCGTTCCAGAGTAGTATCATCTGACTACAACCCGTGGGGAATGATACGAAGTAGTTGATAGTGGGAGGAGTAAGTACTTAGTAGTTATCTGAGGCCCAAGTGGAACCAGATAGATAGGGGGGCGCGGGAGAGGGGCCAAAACAATGGGGTATTTCCCATACCGAGTTTCGAGCGGTGCTAAAGTACATACTACTAACTACTAACTACGTCGACACACTCCGCACACGGAGTAATTATATTGGGCCGTCAATGCTGAACTACGAAATATGGAGTTCTCCATGATTGAAGGGCAAGTACTCCATCCAGGTGCCAGGGTAACCGGGGATCCCTCTCCAACCAACCACGAAAACGCACCGGGTCTCTCGGGTTCACGTGTATGTATGCAGCACCTTAAAAACAGCTTAAGCACATCGTACTGGGAACACCTTGCCACAAGCTGTCCACCCAACAGCAATGGCCCTGCAACAGGAGGGCTCATGTCGCGTAACCTGACAACCCCTCAAACAAGCTCAGACCAATCAGCACAGGCGTATCCCGGCGTGGACTCACGTCTCAGAGCTTGAGAACAGTCCTGGGCGTGCAACATGGATCTCTTCTCAGAACAAGAATGAGGATCTGACTATCTGCCTAGCCTGAGCTGGCTCCCTGTGAGGATCCACCACTACTCCCACCACCACCCGCACGGATCGCTTCCACCGCGATCCTCATAGGCTGATGGGATCTCACAGAGGGCCGTTGTCGCCCAAATGATAGAGGTCTCAAATATTGGACCCTGGAAGGGAAAAACAAGCAAATACATGGGAAGGAAGCGAGCGAAAGGAAAAGAAGAGGGAGGGAAAGCAAGAAAAATCCCCGATGATCCTCGGTGCATGGGAGTGATGGTCTGTGATACCTGAGTGGAGGATGGGTGGATGGGTGGGTGGATGAGATGGTACACTCTGAAAGTGGAAGTCAGTGATGACCCCCCCGACCCCCAATCCTCCCCTGAAACTGGAAGCCTCACTGAATATCCTAACCTGAAGTATACTTAGATGCTGATCACGCTGGTCAGTGGGAGCCGAGTTGCTGGACCGGGGCCCCGATCCTCAACAGCATGGGATCCCCTGTCTGGGTATAAGGTTGACTTGGCACTGGGGGATCCTCCCCTATTGACGGCCGGTCGCCTGTCCGTAAGGAAAAACTTCCCTGCTTACATACCATCCGAACTCCGTCTGCCCATCCCCCTGGGTCTGATCATTCCGTGGCAGCTACCCTCCGCTTGTCACATCTGGCCGGGATACTGTCTAGTGTGACAATCACCACCCGCCAAGATCGTATCATTACTAACAGGGGAGGGATGGGGGATGGAATTGTATTGCCCACTCCAACTTTCCATGCACTGGCTCGAATTTAGTGCGATTGGAGCCCAGCATGGCCATGCATATGTGGATATGTGGGCCTATCTGGGCGTCGATTGCCATGGCTTTCCTTTTCCCCCTCCGTAGTAGTGCCTTCTGCCTCATCACTAACTAGCTTACTCCGGCCACGCCGTGTTGAACGCGACGTTCAGCTACGACACTCAACGCCACAGAGCTGAATCTGTGGCGGTGCGTTTTCGAGCGTCAGCCACATGTAGATCACCGGACTAGTGAGGGCCTCAGGCCCTAGACGATCTTTCTGCTAGTTAGTATCACCGGCCTGTCTTTAGGCGTTCTCCGAATAGCGTGACTGTCAGCACCAGGACTTGCAGACTTGAGTCAAGATGACTGCCTCTGGGTGGACGGAACCCAAAATGCTTCACCGCGATTTGTCATGGCATAACAATAGCCTCTTCGATCGATAGGCTCTCAGCGAAGCCGCCACACGGCACTTCGATCTGCCTGCCTATTCTCTATCCTAATCTTGTTTAACTCCATGGTTGTGCCACCGTGCTCAACGCTCAGGGCGGCTAAATTCCCTGACGACCCCGTCATCGTGTTCCAGGTTCCCAGGTTCGAACCAGGGCTGACGGAGTGTGACAAGTTGGGTTGCTGTACAAGAGATCACATCGTTGTTGCCTGCGCTGCAGCAACGGTGAATGATTCTCGTCACGAGTGGGCTTCAGTTGACTGGCCGATCCACTTCCCTTCTCTCGCCGTCTGATAATCACTCTGCCTCTCATTGACTAGTGATACAGTGTAATACCCATAAGCACCGCAAACCAAAGACTCCTCTTCCCAACCAAAATGGCAAGAAGGGGGGAAAGCGTAAAAAAGGAAGAAGAAAAGAAGAAAAGATGTGACTCCACCTCCTCCATCACAGCACACTTCCGAACGGCCTACATCATCCCTTGCATAGGGCGTCAGACGCAGCTTGAAGGAGGGGGGATGGGCCAGATGCACCTCGCTGGGCCATGGACGAGCTCAACTCGATCTCCGGCGCCGAAGCAGCAGGGATCGCGCCGATCGAAGTTCGCCGTCGACAAGTCGACCCATCTCTTTTCCAGAATCTGATCGCCCCCTTCTCTCAACGAGGCGATCCTCTTCGGGTCTGCGATGTGCAACCGATTCCCGCCACTATTGCGAGTTTTCTTTTTCGTTCCCTTCCCCCTGGAATCTGCAATTGTGCTGCTGGCTCGTGTCCTCCGAACGGGCAGCCGCCGCTGGGTGGCCCCTACTACTGTACAGGATGTATGCACATAGGGGATTCCGTCCTTTTGGCACAATCGGTTTGTTTCGTGTTGTTTCGCCACGTCTCATCTTCTCACACACATTTCTCTCTCAGATCATCTTTTGGACCGTGTGTTTCGGCCACCTACGTACTCCCAGAAGACTTGGGTGCAGTCGTAATGTTCGGGAGGTTCCTAAGTATAACCATTGCAGCAGCCACTATGCAATAAGTCCCAGCTCTGCTATGGCCACTTCGCGTTACCTACTCAGGGTACTACTGGCTTGTCTGCCTACTTACCTATTCCTCCGTCCCGCGCGACGGGACCCAGAATCCCGGAAGTAAAAAAGAAAAAATAAAATAAAATAAGAAAAAAGAATGCGAGAAGAGACAGACCTACTTCCAGCAACCCCAATCGGTTCGGGAGGAAAGAAAACACTCGAAACTTGTCGGTGAGAGCAATCCAGGTCGGTGACCAGCAACCCACCGCGCGCAGCCGTTTAACTTAATCTTCCGATATATTGCGCTCGGCTTTCCGAAAATGCCTCAGCGGATGAGATCTGTCACGGCAGGGCGAGCGAGTACCGGAGAAGCGGTCTTGAGCTAAGTTGACTTTCGCCGGTGTGGAAATGCACTGACGGTCTTGTCTATTCCTAGGGCTGTTGTCACCGACATGCATACATACAGTATACTTGGTATACTTGCGTACTTACAGTAGTCAACCAGTCTATTATTCGCCCATCGACAAAGGGCTGGCTGGGGTGCTCCATACGGAGTCCTCCCCGGATTGTTTCTCCATCGGAGCTGATCTGAGCTGAGCTGAAGCAAGCTCTCTTGCCACTTCCTACTTTCGGGTCCTAGATTAGTCTACCTAGTCTTGCTTAGTACCTACCTACCAAAAAGCAAAGCGGACTCAATGATCTGCTGCTGCTTCACCGCTAGCTAACTCTCTAGCATGGAGCTTCCCTCTTTTACTTTTCGGAGGGTCTGTCTGCTTGCCTGCACTGTGCTTACTGTAGGTACGGCTTTGTCTTCCCCCCGGCACTTACTACTTACCAACCTGTCTACTGTACGAAACTACTTACGACCCGACACTAGTCTGTCATGTCGACTTGGGATTTAGACAGACGCACGGAGAGTATCCTGCTTACTTACGGAGTACATGATCTACTTAGGTTCCCTCTCTTTGGGGAATGGGGGACATTGGCGCTACGCTATGTGCTATGTACTAACCTGCAGACAAGCAGCAGCACTAAGCTCCATGTTCCACAAGACAGACGACAAGCTCTACTGTGTACTCTATCTCGAGCCAAGCTAAGGTAAGGGTCTGGTGAGTAAGAAGATAGTCCATCACATCACAGATAGGCAAGCAAGCAGTCAACACGGCACGGAATACTCTTTAAGATTTCCGGTGTGAGACATACAGCTTTCGCTGTCATCATACAACTCACTTACATATCCTGACCCGTAGAGGAAACACATATACCTATTCACATCTAGTTACTTTGTAGTCTGAGCTACATGATTGCTACTAAATAGAATCATCTTTACTACTACTGACTACTTACATCATGCTGAAAAGCAGATGCACACTACTCAGTCAAGAAACAAAGACCAAGTTCATTACCATCACAAACTGCCCTTCCTCGCAACTTAAGACATCAAACCCCCCCCCCCCCAAAATAGCTATCTAGTCACTCAATCACTCGCTTACTACCTTCATGAAGAAGGGGAAAATAGCTAACTAAACAGAAATCTACTGCCCTCTTCAATTTCCTAGTAGCCATGGAGAGCATAACAAAGCAAAGTAAACCACATCATTACCTTCTCTCCCAACCTGCTCTATAAAACAATCATCTATTCACTCATCCATCCATCCATCCATCCACCTTCAAGCAAAATCCAAAACCCCACCACCCATTTCCAGTACTACCAGACATACTATGAGCGACCAACCAATTTATCATAGACCGATAGAGAAATCCTACAACTAAAAATCAGTTCGATCACACCCAACCCCACCGTTATGATTTTCAAACTTTGGGGGTTTATCTGCAATTTCTGCGTTGGGTTATATGCGGAGAGAGGGAAGGGAGGATAGTCAAGGGACATTAGTTAGTGGCATGCAAGGTAAAACAAAAAAAAAAAGAGTATTTAGAAACGAATGGAACGGTGGTGAAAGGTGGAAGAAACGTTGGGGGGGGAGGGGTTTTTTTGGGTCGCTCTGGTGATGGTGGATGAGATGAGATGTGTCATATTTGGGGTACGTACAGTAGTTAGTAGTTTACTATGTGATCGACTAGTTGCGTTGTTTGTTGTTGGTAGGTAGAGCCTAGGGTATGTATGTATGTATGTATGTAGGAAGGAAAACGGTTCTTCGCTGGTCTATCTAATGGTAATTTGACTTACTCAAGGTAGGTCAAGTAGGTAGGTATCTGTCTATGTACAATCGAGGGTCCTGTCTAAGAATCTTCGTAGTAGACTGGACCCCGATACTGTGACCCGCACACATTAAAGGGATCAAAAAATCAGGCTAAATGTCAATCGAAATCAAGGAAGTGGATAAGAAGAGCATGGATAAATCCAAAAGGTAAAAAGGATAAGATGCCCGCAATCCATTGGATCCAAACTTTCGTCTTCGGGTTTCCAGAAACCTCCTCCACCTGGAGTTCAAAGTTCAGAGTGGATCCCCTTTATTGGAAGGCGTTCCGGATTTCCAACTGCATCTGGCCATCGACCACGCCCTTGATGCTGATGCTTCTCAGATCCTCGACGATCCAGTCGGCACCGGCTTCTTGGAGCTGCGCAAGCGTGTGGGTCGTCGTGAGCGCAATGACTTTGAACCCGGCCGCCTTGCCAGCCCTGATGCCCGACGGCGCATCCTCCAGAACTACCAGAGACGAGGAATGCTCCAGACCCAGGCGCGTCCGACCAAGCAGATAGCACCGGGGGTCAGGCTTGCCCAGCTCGACGTCTTCCGCCACCACCAAGACCTTGGGGTGAGCGAGGTTCAGCACGCCCAGCCAGCCGTCCACCAGCGCACGCGTTCCAGAGGTTACCACGCCCCAGCGAGCGCCGGCGTCGTCCAACGCTGACATGAAATACCGCGCCCCGGGAATCTCGACGGCGTCCGACCCGTATTCCTTCGGGATGCGACCTTCGATGTAGCTGACATCTGGCGGTTGAGAAAGCAACTGGTCAGTCTGCTGTATGCTCTGTGTGGTATATGGACGATAAGGAAGAGTGGTGGTGGTGGTGATGGTGGTGGTTTCAGGTTGGAGTTTCTCAATCGAACTGCAGAGTGTCCAAAGGAATACACTTACACTCCCAATTGGCCTTCTTCGGGTCGTACAACTGGATCGTGTCGATGCTTCGGCGGCCGTGGGAAGTGGCCAAAATGGTCTTGGGGTCAACGCCCAACTCCGCACCGATTCTGCAAGTGATGATTAGGACGAATGGCGTTTGGTTACACGAAGGGAAGTGGTGGGGACGAACTTGTGCCAGTGTTTCACAATCGCTAAAGATCAGATGTCAGTACATGGTTACAGAGGAGGGGTATGTGGGAATGAGGAGGGGGACTGACCATCGGTTGAGTCGACGATAGTGCCGTCAAAGTCGGAGAGTAGTCCGTCAAAAGTGTGGACTTGCGGAGGGGCAGAGAAGGAGCCGGATGGTCTAGACATGATAATGGTGGGGGAAGTAGGACAGAAAAATCCAGGGCCAACACAAGGTGGGGGTGGAAGGAATGGAGGGCAACTCAAAGGATGTGAGTAAATAGATGTAAGGAGTGGACACAGTCTGCACCGCCAGTCAGCAAAAGGAGGGACAAAAGGGAAGAGAAAAGGTGGGTTTCAGGCTTCAGGCAGAAGGAGTGAATGAGTTGGTAAGTCGTGAGAGAGAGTCAGTCCAAAGGAACGAACGAATGGCAGCGCCGGATATCCATAGTCTGTAGTGAGAAAGTATGCCGGTATTACCGGAGATCGGTGTTTCATTGTGCCGGTTATCTTAGCGCCTTGCCGCCGAAATCTTCTTGGCGGCACAAAATTGTTCGGGCGGATCAGAGTGAGTCTCTGTGCTTTGGATCGCCTTTTTGCTCAGAGACGGTTTAGGGGTTATTAGGCAAGATGGTCAAGCTAGGTATGTTCGCTTCATTAGTATCGCCCTTGTCCTCTGCTAACATTTCCTCCAGGCAAAAACTCCAAGCGGGTTCCCGTCCGCCTACGACACAAGATTGAAAAGGCCTCCGCGGCCAAGCAACGCAAGCAGAGAAAGCTTGCAAAGAAGGTACACCATTCCTCTTGCATGTTTCTGCATCATCGTTGCTCATACTAATGCTGCTTGTAGAACCCCGAGTGGCGCTCCAAGATCAAGAAGGACCCCGGTATCCCCAACCTGTTCCCGCACAAGGACAAGATCCTCCACGAGATCGAAGAGAAGAGACGCTTGAAGGCGGAGGAACAACAGCGCATTCGCGATGAGGCCCGCGCTCGTCGCCAGGCTCAGAAGGAGGGTGGCGCTGAGGAGGATCCTGTTGATGCCAATGTCATGATTGATGAGGACGATCTGATCGACGACGATATGGACGAGGATGTCGGTGACTCCTCGAACCCCATGGCGGCGCTGCTTGCTTCCGCCCGTGCCAGAGCTGCCGAGTACGAGGAGGAGCACTCCGATGATGAGGACGATGAGATGGACGAGGACGACTCCGACGACGAGGATATGGACGAGATGGACCAGGACGAAGAAGGCGGTGCCAGCCTGGACGTCTCCGCCCCGATCACCCAGAGCACTTCGAAGGAGAGCTCGCGACGGGCCTTCGACAAGGTTTTCAAGCAGGTTATTGACAACGCCGATGTGGTGTTGTACGTTCTGGATGCCCGTGATCCCGAGGGCACTCGGTCCAAGGAGGTGGAGCGCGAGATCATGTCCGCGGACGGAGGCAACAAGCGATTGATCCTGATCCTCAACAAGATCGATCTGGTTCCTCCTCCGGTGCTCAAGAACTGGCTGATCCATCTGCGCCGCTACTTCCCCACGCTGCCTCTGAAGGCCTCCAACGGCTCGGGCAACGCTCACAGCTTCGACCACAAGCAGCTGACCGTCAAGGGCACCTCCGAGACGCTCTTCCGCGCGCTCAAGTCGTACGCACACAACAAGCAGATGAAGCGGTCCATCTCCGTCGGTGTGATCGGTTACCCCAATGTCGGCAAGTCGTCCGTCATCAACGCCCTGACGGCCCGTCTGAACAAGGGTTCCAGCAACGCTTGCCCCACGGGCGCCGAGGCCGGTGTGACCACCAGCCTGCGGTCCGTGAAGCTGGACAGCAAGCTCAAGCTGATCGACTCCCCCGGTATTGTCTTCCCCAACTCGAGCGACAAGGCCAGCAAGAAGAAGAAGAAGCAGGAGGAGCACGCGCGTCTGATCCTCCTGAACGCGGTTCCCCCCAAGCAGATTGAGGACCCCGTTCCCGCCGTGTCGTTGCTGCTCAAGCGCTTGTCGACATCGGACGACCTCATCTCCAAGCTGCTGCAACTCTACAACATCCCCCCGCTCATCCCGACCGGTGGCGACCAGACGCATGACTTCCTGGTCCATGTGGCCCGCAAGCGTGGTCGTCTCGGCAAGGGTGGTGTGCCCAACATCGAGGCCGCCGCCATGACGGTGATTAACGACTGGCGTGATGGACGCATCCAGGGCTGGGTTAACGCCCCTGTGCTGCCGGTAGTGACTACGGCAGAGGGCGCGGCGGCGCCGGCCGAGGGTGTGGATACGAAGCAGATTGTGACGGAATGGGCGGCAGAGTTCAAGATTGAGGGATTGTGGGGCAATGGGGAGGATGATGAGATGGCCGAATAGATGTTTTTCTCATGGATACCAGGCGTTATGGTTCTTAAAAGGTAGATAGTGTCAATTGCGATGAACATATACCGGACCAAGTTTCGTATGTCAATTATAGCAGTAATGCCAAAGCAATTAGCATTGAATTTTTAGCAATTGTGTATATGTAGTAATTCTCAATAGTACAGTAGTCACCACTACAGCAGAGTAGTAGAGTAGTAGTGGTTTACCAGGCTCATTTCCAACATTGAGCAACGTAGAGTATCTACGTAGACTAAAATATATACTTGAAATGGTAGTACCTCACTCTAGTACACCCACCCACCACTTCAACCACTCTATCTCAACTAAAGTAATAATTCATTAACAATCACAGAAACACATCCAAATCACTAATAATAAAAAACAATCACCAAACCCCAACTAACCCATTACACTACCTACCCAACATACAAAGTTAGTAGTACATACATACGTAGTTGAAGAAAAGAAACCTTATCTCCACCCACCCGAAGCGATACGATACGATAATCACCCTCCACACGCGCCCGCTCCTCCGCGTTTCTGTCGCGTCACAATCCATTTCTGCACAGGAAATTTTTTAACGAACCAACATCAATCAATCAATCAATCACTCACCACGATACCCCTTTACATTTTATATTTTTATCTCACCCACACGATTGACGACCCCGAAAATAAGAAACCAGAAATACAGAAAGAACAAAAGGGAAGGAAAGAAAGAAAGAAAGAAAGAAAGAAAGGCACCATGCCCCGAAAATCCACCAGCAGCAGCACGCCCGGCGACGACGGAGCAGGAGCAGGAGCAGGAGCAGAACAATCCCAAATATCCCAAATACAATCTCAATCACCCTCAGATATCGTCCACCTTCCCGAATCAACAGGACAGATGGTCGAAGCGACAGAACAGCAACTTAAGGCGCGGGCGGAGGGGGGTGTGAGTATTGAGGTGTGTATATATCCATCCCTCCCTTCCTTCCTTCCTTATATCCAAACATATCTTCAATATATACATATACATAAGGAGAAATATCATAACTACCAGGTATCTAACGATGTCAAACCGTGGATAATAGGACTACCTCCTCCCCCGCTCTCTCACCCTCCGACTAGCAAAATCCGTTCTTCCTCCGAATACATCCATACAGAAGGATGCGGTATTGGCGATTCAGAAGGCCGCGACGGTGTTTGTGTCGTATTTGTCGTCGCAGTATGTTTCCCATTCATTTTTCTTTAAATCTCTCTGCATCCAGGAGGATAATTAATGTATTGACTTTTGGGGCTGTGTATAGTGCCAACGAAGCAACCCTCAAACGAACCGTCGCGCCATCGGACGTTTTCAGCGCCATTTCGGAACTAGAGTTCGATGGGTTCCGCACACGATTGGAGCAGGAGTTGGAGGCGTTTACGGAGTTGAAGGCGGGGAAAAGGAGGGCGAAGAAGGGGGATAGTAGTAGTACTACTACTGCTGCGGCGGCGGAGGGAGTGGGGAAGGGTGGGGATGCTGAGGAGGAAGAAGAGGATGGGGATAGAGGGGTGAAGAGGGTGAAGCGGGCGGAGGAGAAGAAGAATGGTATTGGTGGTGGGGAGGAAGAGGAAGGGGATGAGACGCAGGAGGAGCATGAGCAGGAACAGGAGCAGGATGATGAAGAGGAAGAGGAGGAGGAAGAGGAAGAGGAGGACGAGGAGGAAGAAGAGCAGAAGGATGATGATGAGGAAGAGGAAGAGAATGAGAATGATATTGATCGAGTGGAGGATTTGGATCGGGCGAAACGGCCGATGAATCCGGATGTTGAGGGGGATGAGTCGGACAGTGAGGATGAGGATGGGCCGGGGAGTCAGCTGCGAGGGGATTTGGGACTGGGTTAGATTGTGTTTCACGATGATTATGTGTGTATGGTATGGTATATGTCGTTTGTCTCTGTTTACGGCTGATGGTTATGCGGCAACGAAATGGATTGTTGCATGATATCACTTCTACTCCATATCCAATGTACAATGTGTTGATACCCAATTCAACTTCATCACAACCAGCTGCTCATTATATTCACCACGTGGGGACTCCTTGAACTCCGCACTCACAACGCCCACAAGGGCTTGCCTATGTTGTACAATCATTGGTGCAGTTGACGCCACAAATCAGAAGAGTACCCAAGGGACTCCAACCAGCTATATAGCTGCTGCTTGAAGCAGTGAGGTGAGCCCAAATGACATCTTCATTATCCCACCCAAACGCCATGTCCCATAGTCTATCATTGGTATCGCCATTAACTGAAATTGAAAAGACTCCCCAGGAAGGCCTTAAATGTAAAATAATAGTAAAGGAGAAGAAAAAGAAGAAAAGAAGACGGGAAGACGCGCTGACGCAGACCCGAGCTGAGTCATGCGGTCGGCTCGTTCAGTAACAGATTCATTCCTCGGGGAATAGAGTCAGGAGAAATGGTCTCGTTCTGTCGCCACCGACCGCTTGGTGGAGGAGTAGAGGCATCCTTGCCCACCATTTTGGGGAACGTCTGATTCGGTCCGTTGTTGCGAGCAGCGCCCGGAGCCAACGGGTGCATCGCCTTGGTGTCGTCCTTGTCCAGCTTGGTCGACTTGTCACTTGTGACAGCTTTCTGAGCCTTGGTGACCCTTCCGAAATTGTTGATCTTGGAGTTCTTCGCTGGCTCGGCCTTCTTTGGTCGTCCTTTAGGCGCAGCCTTCTTCGGAGCCGCTTTCTTCGGAGCAGCCTTCTTTGGCCCGTCTGTTTTGGCCGCCTGCAGCACATCTGTAATGCTCCGTCCGTTGCTGGCGGGGTTCGGGCGACCTTTCTTCGCCAAAGGTTTGGATTCATCCTCATAACTCGACGATGGAGTAAGGAAGCCTGTCGGAGTGGGTCGTTTCTTGCTGGGAGTGACAACCACCGACACCTCGCCTTGTTCCTTCTTCACTCGTTCCACTTCCGAAGATGTGCTCTCATCAAACACATCGTCCTGTGCATCCCACCGTTTCAGATTGGCCAGTCGCGCAACTTCCTCACAGTCGCCCTTGACCATTAGATCCCAGCAGTCCTCAAACTCCTTGCCGGTGGGGTACTCATTGTTGATCCACATGGTCACTCCGTTACGGCGACTCCGGATGACGGAGCAAAGACTCTTTACCAGGCGACGCACTCCGGGAATCTTCAGACTCGTACCGACCACAATCAGGGCGTCCGGGCGGGAACGGATGTCAGCATTCATGACGGACGTGATGGCCTCCTCGTCCGGGTTGTGCTCGTTGTAC